TCTTTATGTGTCTGAATGGCTGTTTGGTTGGCACGTGCGGCCTGAAAAGCAGTTCACAGCTGCTTGTGGGCCACGCAATTGGATGGCAACGCTTTAGACCAATTCGCAGTCGGGCAAATTTATGACTTGATTACAATACGCATACGCCCCGTGGCCGCCGACAATGATAGCGAGTCGGAAAAACTGCGAATGGCGGAAAATTAAGGGGAAGTGCGATGGAAAAACTTGTGTGCCGGCTGCTCTAAAGCAAATGGCAAATAATGTAATAATATGACAGAAGAAAAGAAGCCTGATAATGCACAAAAAAAAAAACAACAACAATAGGTTGCAAAAAGCGAGCTAAAGTAATGGAGGAAACGAGGGCGTGGCTGTGTAAATTGTGGTGACAACAATTCAATTTAACGGCCCACTGAGTCCGTTGGTCTCGATGGATTCTGGCCTTTGTTTTCACTTCACCTCTTCTCGGATCCCTTTTTTGCACAGTGTTGTCTATTAAATTTAATTAAAATTAAATTCAATTGATTGCATTTTCTCTTGTCTGCTGCCAAACACACACTAACTTGCCTTCAATCCATTTAATTTTTGTTTAAAGCACCTGAAAAGCACATTTAATATGCTCTACGATGTCCAGTCTGGTAGCTGTCAAGTTATAATATGACAACCGAACTTGATTGATGGATGGATGGATGGATGGATGGATGGCTGGCTGGCTGGTGCACTACCATATGCCGCCAGACTCTTCAGTTGCTGTCCATATTTTTGGTCTGCAACTTGTTTCTTGATCATTTATGTCATTAAAAATAAGGCAAGCCTGACAATAAAGTAAAAAAAAATTTTGGGACACGTAGTTAAATTATTTCGTGTAAAAATATCGAAAGGTATGCTTTTTAGGTATGTAAAAAAAAATGGTAGCTTTGATTTTTCCGTAACCTTTTGACCCCATTTTTCTGCGCTTCCCAACGTCATTATTTTAAGCTTACGTGCTTAAATGTACCTCTGTTGAGCTGACAAAATGAAATGACACATTTTTTTGGCAGCGAATAAAGAAATTTTTCATTCTATCGAATTACAATTAAATTGCCTCCAATGACATGTTTTTCCCTGATCCTGCAGTGCCTATCCTTGTGCGTCTCTCCCCCTGTTTTCATTCCTCGTTTCGAAAACACACAGAGAGCCAAGCGAAAATATATACCCAAAAAGTATACAAAAGCACACAAGGACACACATAGAAGTCAAATCTAATAATCAGCTTGCCACCTAACGAATGTGAAAATGTTGAACGGTGGAAGTGCGAGGAGGAAATGCGGAAAGAGGAGTGAAATTAGGAAGGGGAAAATGCGGTTGCTGCTGGCGGTGACATTTGAATTTTTGGCCATTTTAGCGCAAATTTCTTCATTTTTTTCTGCTATTTGTTTCTGTGCTACCCAACTCATGATTGTTTGGTTTGGTTTGCCTTCGTGGGGTTTATTTCCTTTCTTTCAGGTTTTTCGTTTTTTTTTTTTCTTCTTTTTTGTGCTCTTTTGTCGGAAAATAACGTGACATGCATAAATAATTGACTTTTCACAAAATGCGCCATGGCAGCGCCAAACAAAGGCACCAGGAGCAAAAAAAACCAAAAACAACAAACACACGGAAGGAGGAGCGGAAATGAAATATGGCGGAATGGTAAAAATGGCGAAATAGTGAATGCCAAAATGGCGGCGGCCATATTGTATTTGTAAGCGGGAAGAAGCGGGACGGCGGTAACGCATCCAAAATGCCATAAAATATTTATTTGCAATGCGAAAGCAGCTGCCACATGACGAAGGAAAACCAGATGAACAAGAGATAAGAGAGAGACGACAACCAAGAAGAAGATGGAGAAAATGAAGAAGAGAAACGAAAGGATCAAGAAAATACTTTCAAATCGGCCTGCAGGCATTTTCTTGTGGCTTGGCTAAAAGGCAGCTAAAGCAAATATGCTTTCTGATTGACAATTAATCAAGTAAATGGAAACGTTATTGTTACCATCTATATAAACAAAGTATCCATATGAAAAGTACACAATATAACACAGTATAAATTTAGCCAAATGGACAAATCAATTTACCTAAATGAAAGCCAAACAAAGCGCAAACGTAGTGGAAAACGAAAATAACAGCGGTCTATAAAGTGAAACTAAAAGCATAAATATTTAGACAGAATCTATTTTATACAAATAAACCGATTAACCAATTGTTGGCTAAAGCTTTTACAACAATGTCGAATACCCACTCGAAGCCAAATTTTAGGAAATATTCGACGACACGAAAAGGAAATTTTAATAATTTTTTGAAGTACGAAAAATTTAAAAATAGAATTAGTATATCTTAGTACAAAGATTCCATCCAAAGTTGAATAAACTTTACCAAAAATATATACAAAATCTAAAATAAACCAGACTATTAATATTTATAACTTTATAAAGTAAATATTTTTATTTACAACTCACTTTGGTTCAATAAATTACTCGAGAGCACCGCCATAAATTAACGGTTTAAAAACATATTCCATAATCCCCGAATTTAAATGGGCAACCGTCGAGTCTGCCCCACATTTTAGTGCAGTATTTTTTTTTGTACAATTTGTCGCAAAGTTTTTTTTGTCACCCCCTCGAACCACTGACTTTTCTCGACCGCTTCTGGTTTTTATGGCCAATTTATAAACTCGACTTCGCTGCGAAAGTGCGCGAACAAATACTTTTACTTCTTTTGTGTCGTAATAATTTATAAGCCATTTTTACGAAACTGTTGCTGTTTTCTGGCACTTCTGGGGAAAGACTCACATGGGCCAAGGGCTGGCTCTCTCTTCAAATGGTCAATTTGTTGGCGGCCATTCACCATTATTAATGGGCGGCTTTGTACGTCTTTGTTCAGTTTTGTTGGCTAAAGAGGGAAGGGGCATGGAGTAAATTCAATTTTGGTTAAAATGTTTTCAATGTAACTGCTTGCCTGGAGTCCTGTAATTGCATATGGTGTGGTGACATATGCCAAAAATGTGACTGCAATTCAACCAGGAAACGAGAAACGAAAAGCGAGCAACGGAGCAACGAGACACGAACATTTTTGGAAGGACATTCTGTGCAGTCGACTGTACGAGGACTTGGATGTCTGTGTATTGTCCTTTCCGTGTTTGCCCCGTTGTGTTGTGTACTTTATGACTTGTAGTCACTCGAAATCCCCATCTCCACCGCCCACGTCGTCTAGCTTTATTTCTTTTTTTTTTTTTGTAGCATTTTCAAAAGTTTTTGCAGTGAGATTGCAAGCAAACATTTTCAACTTTGTAGTTTGTTGTTGCTGCGGTGGTTGCTTCTGCTATTTGGGTTTTTAGCATGTGACGCCATTTGTGGCACAGTCTGCAACACAGCCCCATTTCCCCCGTTTCGCTCTTAAAAACTACGCACGTTGAAAGCAAAAGCAGTAGCAGTAGCAGAAGCAGAAGCAAAAGCTGGAACCCAAAAACCCAATAGCACTTTTTACCCACTCCTTAAGTTGAAAGGGAACTAAAAAGGATATACAATCCTTAGTCCACACCCTAACCCTTCTTGAAATCTGCGTGTTCGAAAGTCCATCTCAGTGTGTGTGTTGCGAAGAATTCTCAAGTGTTGAACGGGCATTGTTGCTAACGTTGTTTCTATTGTTACTGGCTCATACTCTTAAAACAATCGGGTGCATGTCAATAGGCACAATATTTAAAAAATAAATTCTTAAATTGTTAAAAAAAAGTTATACCATTAACAAACGTTATCTCCTCTAATAATTTCCTTAATAACTTTTACTAAATGCTCGTAGCACAATTATAAATTTATGTTTGATTTGTTTTACTAATATCGAAATTTTTGCGGTGATTTCCAATTGAGTAATCCTTTTAAGTGCTCATTCCAGGGAATTAACCATGTCTCAAAGTTTGACCAACCTTTCAGACTTATTTGCCGCTCTAGTCACTAGCTTCCGTTTTCCTTTTTCTGTTTTTGCAGGAAGGGGGAAATGTTCTTCTTACCTTTTCCCTTTTTTGTCTAGCTTTTCTCGGGTCTTAGGAAAAAGGGAATTTTTTGCCTTCGCTTCACCGCTTTGTTTACGACCAAATCCAAAACAATGGCATTTTTGCACATGAGCGCATTTGAGCCAAGTTCTGCTGGCTGTCGTCGTCGATGTTGCTGTTATTGTTGTTTTTGCTTCTACACTTAAACTAAACTTTTCAGCTGCTGTTTTCTCGTACTCCTTTCGTGTGACTAGCCTTCCTGGTCTCGACTTTTGCTGCATATTTAATCCTTTTTTCCTGGCCCTCCCATGGCCTAAAGTGAATTATTACGGACATCTTTCCGGCTCAAACCGACAAATATCTGGGCCAGCTGTTGGGGAAAGGCAATAGTTCTGCTCCTAGGGAACTGCAATCGCCCGAATCATTCGACTCATTGGCTTGCCATTTCCATTTTTTATTCCAGCACTTTTCCCCAACTCATCTTTGTTTGCCGTTCGCATTAGTAATACAAATTGCACGGGGAAAGTTCAACAAACTGCATTTAAAATGGAGCAAACTGGAGCTACAAAAAGAGCACACTCGGATGGGGAAATATTTGCTGAACCGGGCCATATTTAATGCTGTTTAACAGTTTAAAACCCGATTCTTTTAACATTCAACACAGTTTCATACAAAATATATGCACAAATACTTTTAATATCTAAAAACAAACGTTTGATTCCATACATAATAACATTAAAATTTTCTTCGATATATATTACATTTAGGGATTCATTTAAATAAATATAATGTCAGTAAATTCATGTCACTACCATGTGCGCAAACAAAACAAAATGCAATACCATAAATTTCATTAAACTGCGTATTTCGAAATATTTATACACCCGTGCAGGCTTAATTGAGTTTATGGCCAACGAGATTTTATGGCAAAGTGCATTTATGGAAAATGCATTACAAAAAAAAAAAAACAAAAAAATATTCGGTCATAAAAATCAACTTACCATCGATTTTAATTGGCGGAACCGGTACGCACTTTTGCCCCGAAGTTGGTTCCGTTTGGTTGGCTTCAATTTGTTATTCTTTATGCTGCAAAAAAAGAGAGAAAACAGATGGAATGGAAATATAAATAAATTGATTTATGTTGGCCACAAGAACCCAATGAATCAAATGGACGGTTAAACAATAAAGCAATAACGACGCCCCTTTAATAAATGTCATTTTTCAGAAGGACTATGTTAAGAAGGACTATATAAATTATTATTTGTAGTTCGTTCTTGAGAGCAGACTAAGAGTTAAAAAAAAAACCGTTAAGGCTAGGGCTACAAATTATTTATTTCTTAACTTCTATTAAAGAATAATCCAGATACAGCAAAAATTTTAAGCTGTTTCCTATAACAAATTTATTGCTTTAATTCACTACAACACTAAAGTCTCTTATTAAAGACAGCTATTTTGTGTGTTTATTGACTTTATCAAGTGTCAAAAATCTCATCATAATCTGCAGAGCCAATAGAAACACAAACACAAATCTCCAGCTATTTCACAGACGAAGGAGAAGGACGAAACAATATCAGGCACTAAATCAAAAAGTAGAAAAACAGTCAGAAAACATTATGAAATCAGCCACAGCGGGTGTCTTGAGATGAAAAAGGAAAAAAACTTTGGTTGAGACGCATTACTGGGAAGTATACTTATGTCATATTATTGACGATGATGGCAAATGAACCGAGAACGAAACGAGAACAACGAAAATAGGAGGAGATGGGGTCTGTCTGTCACCAATTTCATCAGCTTAAACTGATGACAGTTGAGAAATGTGCTTTTACTGTTCGCTCTTTTTGCATTTTTCTTTCGATTTTTGTTGTATTTAAAAATACATAAAATGGCGGTTGACATTTGACGGGTAAAAAAAACGAGAAGAGTACACGCAGAAAAACTAGATTACGAAAAATTTTCCATTGAGTTAGAGTTGAAGTTAAATTCAAACAAATATTCTTATATAATTTCTGAAGCGCTCGAAATAATTAAGACATCCTGTCTAAAGTTTATTAATGTAATTATTTTGGTTTACATTGCTTTTTATTATTTTTCTTTGTGTAAACCTCTGTCACTCCCGTGTTCATTGTTATTCAAGCAAAAAAAAATCCAGGAGCAGCTGGTTCACATTTTGCAAACCACGGCTCCTTTGCCTTATGGTAATGACGTGCGCTGCCTTTGAGAAAAGATTTTAGAGGAAGACCTCAATGCGGGTTGCCGAAAATCAAACAGTAAATCGAAATCATGGCCGCAGGTGTCCTGTGACATTCAGGCCGCAAAGTGTCGGCCATTTCAAACGACAGATCGGCCGCAAACATTGTCAAATATTTCCACCTCAGAGGCATGTCATGTCTAGAACCACCACCCACACCACATAACACCACACCACACCGCACCACTCACACAGCACCACACCGCAAGTGGGAAAGTTCTCTGTCCCGACAAACTTTCCACACGCCAGAACAATTTGCTCCACTTCGAAGGCAAATCCTTCGGCCAGGGCTGTCCCCTGCATAACAAATATTGCCTGTAATTTAATTAATCTCCCAGGAAAGTATTAAAGTTTGACCTGCAGCTAATAGGGATGTTGGAGAAAATTGCTATAGTAAACTATAAAGAGAGCAAAGCAAGGATATTAAATCCCTTATTGTTGGACTAACCGTTTCTGTTCTGTTTCTATTTTTCGTAAACGTTCTCAGTTTCAAAATTTAATCTTTAATAACTCTCTTAGTGAATATTTACTCTTCCCCCATGAATTTTGAATATCAATTAAATGCAAAACACAAACACAAGGCAGCGGAAGATGGGGCAGGGCGAGAAATCTATTAGAAAGCCAGCCAAAAAGTTTGGACAATTCAGGCACGCACTTTGATTAATTTTAAGACAATAATCATAAAGGAGGTTTGGTCTATCCAATCGACCTCCCGCTTCCGAGCGCTCACTTCCTGTCTCGCTCGCACTCATCTTAATGTGTTTACGTGCCTGCTAGAATCTCTATAGCATACTTATCCGGGCTTCTCGTTCATAGAGAACCCGGGCACGTCCTGTTTACCCGTCTCTTTCTATCTGGCTCTGGCTCCAACGCGCTTCTCTCTTTTCCGGGTTAGTTAATTTCGCCGCCTCGGAGGCAGGAACTTTAAGTCGATGGGAAACTTAATCAAAGTTTCTTGGGGGCTCCCGTAGTTCCTGTTCTTCGTCCTGCAGCTGCAAAAGTTTCTCTTTCGGTACGGTTCGGTTCGGTTCGGTGTTTTTGGCCCAAAAGAGTTTCGAGCACGCAACACTACGGCCAATGGCTTCGTTAACTCGTTCGGGCCAAAGTCCCTTCCACTTCCACTTCCACTTCCACTTCCATTTCCACAGCCAAATCTTTCACCTGGCCAAACGGTTTGCGTGTTTGGATGTTATTTATAATATGCTAAGCTCGCTGCTCGCTGCTTCCTTTTGGCCTCGACTGCAGTTCACCGGAAGCCTTCAACTTGACCAAGGCTCCGGGTAGAAAAAATCCACTACTTCATGTTGTCACACTGAAAACTGTGAGGCAACTGTTCCTTTAAGAAAGTATTTATACCAAAAACTCCAAATTAATTGAAGTTTGTATGTTAATTATGTTATTAGTTGAGTTCCTTGACTAGAACTGTTGATTTGGAAAATTTTAATTCAAAGAAATATACTCAGTGCTTGATTTCAAAGTTTCATAAGCATTTAGAGTGTTAAGAACTTATTTAGAAATGCATATTTTCGCTCAGTGCTGCAACACCTTTTCCCTTCTCGGCAGACACTCTTCAATGGGTTTTGCCTTTGTGGCGTTTAACTTTTAATTGGATTTCAGTTTTGGCTTAGTTAATGGCAAAATGAGTTCAACATTCGCTACTGATGTTGTTGTTGGTGTTGGTCTGTGCAAAATATTAGCGCATAATTTCAACAATTACTTCCACTGAGTGACCACTGAAAACACCCATCGCTGCCCCTTGGCTGCTTAATCATTTGCATATTTCATTACAATTTCTGCGTTTCATTTTCTCCCTTTGAATAATTATCCTTGACTTGAATTCTTGCTGGAAGAGACTCCTAGTTTGAACACCTCTTAAACTTTATTATGATTTTTCCAGGAAATCCTGACTTAAATTGTAAGATTCTTGTAGGTTTTCTCCCTTCCCCCATAAGAGGTCATTTGATCCCTTACCTTCGCAAATTCCAAAGAATAATTTCCATATTAGGTTCATTGAATTGGATTAAATGGAAACCGAAAAAGGGCGAGGAGAAACTTTTACCTACCGAAAAAAAAACGAATTAAATTCCTCACTCAGCTTAACCAAGAATTTCTCGACAAGCGAAATGCCAAATGCCACCCAGAATCGTACCACCCGAAAAATCGGAATCTAACCTTCCATCACCTTTGGCAAATTCCCACCCACACCAACCATGTAAGCACATTCAGGGCCATCAACAATTTATCACAGCAAACTGAACGAAATCTCATTTGCAAAAGCAGTTACGAGGGTCGGGGAAAAAGTTTACCAATGTTCAGAGCTTGTCAAACTGTTCAGCACAAAAATAAAGAGGAAAAACAACCCAACGAAAAATAAAAAAAAAAAAAAACATGACCAGACGGAAGCTGCGACAAAGGAAATTTATGTTTTCGGGCAACAAGAACCAGGAAAAAGCGAAAGGAAATGCGTGCAAAAGGGTTCTGGGGAGTCTGGAAAGTTGAGGGAAATAAATAAGGAAATAATGTTTAACTTTCGCCGAGGCAAAAGGGGCAATCAAATGCTACAAGCTGTGCCTAGGGAGACTTTTCCACCTCCCTCCTGATTTATCCCCTCTGCCTCATTTATCAAAATCAGCCAGCGAAATAAAGAAATATGAGACTCGAGTCGGGCAATTTACAATGCTGATCCCAATATGATTGCCGAGCGGAAAGAAACTAGAAAGAGTGCGAGGCGAAGGGACCTTCGTTCCTTTGTCCTGTGGCATTGAAAAATGAAAAATATCCAGCGGCAATCAAAAAGAAAAACAAAGGAAAAGTCAACAAGCACTCGGTGTGCTTGGATGCAGCCACTTGCTAGCTATTAAAGGAATGTGTCACCTTGCACCACCGCCCAACCACTCAGCCACCCAAAAATGAATCCTCCTCTCTTTTCTGGCCAAAGGCAAAATTGTTGCAGGAAAATTTACGCAAACATTTGGCTGTGGCAATCTGCAGACTTTATGGGTGGTACGTACCCGGGTGACTCAACTTTGTCTTCTTCGGGGAGTGAGCGCCGTGTCTTTGTCTTAGACTGGTTAATGGTGCAAGAGGACTTTAAACTTTTTTATTGTCAAAGCTCCAAAGTTTTTGCCACCGCTTCGTTTATGCCTTGTGTGAATTCCACATTTTATTGGAGAATTATACAATTGAAAGATAGAATTGTTAAATAAAAGTTTGAGCAATTCTGCTGAAGTTGGAGAGGGCGAATGAATGGTTTTGATTTATCTATGAAAATTAGCTGAGTATACATAAATAAAGTTTTACAGGCTATTAAGGAAGACCTTAAAATTTTGCTTTATAACCTTTGCCACCACCAAGATCTCATTAGTATGCACTAGAATTTTTACAACGTATCCTGCCACAGGACACACACACACACAACTATGCTGATATGTCAAAGTATAAAATTCCTTTAATGCTCCGCATCCCAGCTCATTGCAGCCAATGATAAATTTTGCATTTTCCTGTGGCATTTCATAGTTTTTTTCGGTACTGAGCTTCTTTGTTGTCTGGCGCGTGGCATTAAGTTTATAGATTGGGGGACATGCCAAAGAATAGCTATATATAACGAAGAAGACGTGGCGAGTGCTGGTGTGGCACGTAAATAAGTTGCAACAGAAGAGAACGTTGCTGCTGCAGGGATTTTCGTATCAAAGTTAACGAGCAGGCCAGATCCTTCGTCACTTATAATTTATGACCATTTGAGTGACGGCTTAAAAGAGCCAGAAAACCTTGACTGAACCCGATTTGTTTGCAAATCTCTCACAACCAATTTGCCAAAAGAGATTTCTCAATCCGCATT